CAAGGCTGGGGTGCAGCTGCAAGGCCAGTGCACAGATGTAAGGCTGGGGCGCAGCTGTAAGGCCAGGGAGCAGCTGAAAGGCTGGAGCGCAGCTGCAAGGCCAGTGCACAGATGTAAGGCTGGGGCGCAGCTGTAAGGCCGGGGCGCAGCTGTAAGGCCGGTGCGCAGCTGTAAGGCCGGCAGAAGAAGTAGGCCCAGAGGTGCGTGGGAAGATGCGGAGGTGGTACCCAAGTCGGTGCCGTTCGTGTGTCTAGGTAACATTTGTCAGTCACCCATTGCAGAAGCTGTTTTCAGGAAACTTGTAACTGATCAAAATGTTTCAGAGAATTGGAGGATAGACAGCACGGTGACATCAGGTGGGTCATTGACAGTGGTGCTATTTCTGACTGGAACATGGGCTGGGCCCCAGACTCCAGAGCTGTGAGCTGCCTGTGAAATCATGGCATTCTCATAGCCCATAAAGCAAGACAGATTATGAAAGAAGACTTCGTCACATTTGATTATATACTGTGTATGGATGAAAGCAATCTGAGAGATTTGAATAGAAAAAGTAATCAAGTTAAAAACTGCAAAGCTAAAATTGAACTACTTGGGAGTTAGGATCCCCAAAAGCCATTTATCATTGAAGATCCCTACTATGGGAATGACTCCGACTTGGAGACGGTGTACCAGCAATGTGTCAGGTAGAAGGCCCACTGAGGCTGGGTCTGCATGGCTGCAGCTGATAGCACCTGGACCCCCAAGGCTCTGCCTGTGTCAGACTGGGGGCTCAGGTGCAGTGACACTCCGTAGCCCCAGCTCTTTCTTCAGTTGATTCATCTCTTACCTTCAAAAATAATTGCAGAATGAAATCAGTTGTGTTTGGCAGAAGAATAAATAAAAATCTTTGATTCCGACAGTTTATGGGGTATAGCAAGTATTTGTGGATTACTTGAACCCCTCACTTTGCCCCAATTACAAAATTAGTGGAGCAAACAGGATATAGAACCAAGTAAAACACAATATCAAACCTCATGTGACAGCCCAGGTCATCACCTAAGCCTCTGGAGACTTGGATAACCTAGTCTACCTCTTGAGTAAGTTGATGTGGATAGCTGGATGGACAGTGCCCTCTGCTCTCCTGGGCCACCTCTTTGTCTTTCTGCCCCAGAGTGTTCTATTGAGTGAAAGTAGCTCCCTCCAAGGGACTCAAAGTGTACATTAGAAATGTTTTAATTCACACACACCGAATAATTAATGACAGTAGCTCCCTCCAAGGGAATTAAAAGTGTAGATTAGAAATGTTTTAATTCGCACACACATCATTAATGTTTTAATTATACACGTAGTGCACACTTGTATATTTAAAAGATTTGTGGAATCCGTCTTTAGCACCTTTAATACTGGACTTTTGTCTAGTGTATTCCCTGAGGAGGTTGGATCATTTGCTCCCTTTTGAACTACTTTGCTCCTGCAAGCTTAATTATATCCTGAAAGGAGGATACTTGTATGCTGGTTTATCTATGGTCACTTGAGGAGCTTGTCTGTCTTTTTTTGATGCATGTGTAACCTAGATGTTGAATATAAATGGGCTTAGTTGGGAAAAAATAATATAATAATAATATAAAAATAATATAAAATAATATAATGCTGAGAAAAGTTCTGTGATACTGGCATGCTTAAATATTGGTATGTTAACAGCATTTAATTTTTAGGCAAATACAGGTAATTTCTGTGTATTTTAAGATAATCTCAAATTCATATGGATGTGTCAGAAAAGATTATTCTCTTAATAAATTGGGGAGTTATAAAAATACAACTGAGATATTAAAAAAAAAGAAGTAGGCCCAGAACTGAAAGGAACCGAGATTACCACAAAACAGGAACTTCGGATCAAGTAATTTTATTTATTTATTTTGAGACAGAGTCTCAGTATGTCACCCTGCTGTGGCGTCATAGCTCACAGCAACCTCAAACTCTTGGGTTTAAGCGATTCTCTTGCCTCAGCCTCCCAAGTAGCTGGAACTACAGGCTCCTGCCTAGTTTTTGTTACAGTTGTCATTGTTGTTTAGCTGTCCTGGACTGGGTTTGAACCTGCCAACCTGCCAGCCTGGGTATATGTGGCTGGCACCATAACCACTATGCTATGGGCACCAAGCCCGGATCAAGTAGCTTTAATTCTTTTGGCTCACTGACTACTGTGTTCCCACAGGTTACTGGTGTTCATTCTATAGATATTTCTGGTACAGGTTTGAGAAGTGAATTGAATTTTGTAGAGCAACTTGGAACCTACAGAATTCTAAGAAGTATAATTTAGACTCTAGTTTAAGGACTTGAAGGAATGTTACTAACTCATTTTCTTTTATAATGAAAATAATGTCTTTTCCTCCCATTTTCCATTCCTGGATAGCTGATTGAGTCAGCAGGTACTTCAGGACTACCAGATGTTTGGCACTTGGGATGTGGGTCTTTATTAGTCAGTCATGAACATCGAGGAGCCTTTCCACAGCCTGGTGGGAAGGTATGTCTGCAGAATACTAGTAATTAAAGAGCTGTCTGATACTTGAAAAGA